CTGAACTAAATTCCTGGCCCCAATCTACTTTGGAAACACATTCTTCTGTCTTCTCGCTCCACATCGGACCCAGCCAACCAGCCATTTATGAAAGGACCCGTCATGGGATGGATGATTCTGACAGTCACCCAGGCCAGTTCGTGTGCAGCTATCTCTTGGAAGAATGGAGCTGTGGCTTGAGGTGCTTTCATAACTCAGGAAGAGGAGTGGAGAAAGAGCAATGAAGGACCCAGGACCCAGGTGCTGTGTTGAGCTACATATAAAATTGTGTAAAGCTAGATGTGGTGACACACACCTGTAACCCCTGCACTCAGGAGGCTGAGGCAGTAAGATTGTTATGAGTTTGAGGCCAGCCTGGGCTACATGGTGAGTTCAAGTCAAGCCTGAACTACATAGCAAGACTCAACTTCAAGTGTAGGAAACCAAAAGCATCTTCTTGAATTATTTGGAGCCTAGCATAACCACGTCCATATTGACCTGTCTGTTACCCCACAAGCAAAGACATGCTGTTGCTTGTAGTAGCGGCCTTGCTCAACAAATGACCTAATCTGTCACATAGCAACTGTATCCCACCATGATTGTTATTATACGATATGTTCCTCTTTTATCATCTTGTCATTTTGTGGTTAGCTACTTCCTCTTACAATTTTGTGGTTTTTGCCTTTATATACTACCTGTGCCTGCAAATAAACGAGACCTTGACAAGCCTCTGCTTGGTCTCCTTCTTTCTGTGCCTCTTTTGTCCCATTTCCAGGTATTTCCCCTTCGCGAGCTCTGCTAATTACGAGCCCTGCTGGCCGGGGCAAGTGGCACCGGAACGTGGGGCTCGAGACAAGGGGTCTTCACCTGGTGGACGCTGCTCAGAAGATCAGCTGATTGACCCCAGGACCTCCGCCCAGTTGGCGAGTTTGGCTCCACGTACAGTCCGTTCAGACCCACCCATCTGAGAAAGCGACCTGTGAGGTGAGTGAGCAGCGCGAAATATGGGACAAAAATTAAGTACACATCAGTTGTTTGTTGAAGGTTTCAAATCTTCCTTAAAGACACGGGGAGTTTGGGTTAAGAAAAAGGATTTAATTAAGAAACTTGTCCTTGGTTTCCTCTTGAAGGAACCGTCAACGAGAAACGTTGGAACAGAGTCAAAGATTGTTTTAATGATCCCCTGACGAGGATTTCCTGGTAGAATCTAAGTTCTTTTTCTTTTATGGCTCCTGTGTGTCGTCTGTGTCCTGTCTGTTGAGTGTTAACCTTACATTCATTCCTAGGAACAAGATGGGAAGATCAAGCTCCAAAAATACCCCATTGGACTGTTTTCTCATTAACTTTAAAATTGTTTTTTTCCCCTGAGCAAGAGGATGATTACGGGGTTAAATTCTCTCATGGAAAGCTTCTCTCCCTGTGTCAATCGACTTCCACTGGAGCAAGGAGCAAGCGACTGTCTGCCTCCTTGGAAGGGAAAAGGCGCGCCCCCAGGATTTCCTGGGTTCCCTTTCTAGGACGCGGAGGCCAGCTCACCGGTAATGGGACAGAAAGAAAATGAATGGATAAAATCCTCTGTCTAAATGGTGAGATCCCCTGGGTTACTCCCTAGTTTGTCTTTGGAAGGGGCCTCAGGGAGGGAATGTACTAACCTCTTATATGACTATCTGTGAAAGAGATTTTACAAGAGAAATCAAGTTATAAATTTTAACTATTTGATAAATGTATCTTTGTTTCAATTTGAATTAAGTTTAACTGGTGTGCTTTAAACATTTCTTGTGCATTGCAAATTCTTGAATTGTGATTATAAGGTTAACTTGCTCTTTTCTGTACTTTGTTGATAAAAACTCAAGGTTAATACTGTTCTATTGGCAGCCAGTCAAATTTAAAGTGTAACAATCTGAGAACAAAAAAAAAAAAAAAAAGGATACTTTAAACTGAAGTTTATTATAGAAGGTTTATAATAAATGAGACAGAAAAACATTAGGAAAGCTATAAGAGTTATTCTTTTGACATGAAAGGTTTTTATATGTTCATCCTGTTAAAAAAACAGGTAAAGAAAGATATACAAGACCAGAAGGCCTAAATATGTAGAGAAGGTGTATAGAAATCATTTATTTATGTTTGCTTGTTGGTTTCAAGTTTGTTATAAAAGGTTTACATTTATAGTCAAGAAGAGCATTCATTCCTTTAACCCTAATTCTACAAGAGATCTCTGTTAATTTTGACCTGTAAAAATTTTGACTAGTCATAACAAAAAGATTTTATAATTCAATTGGCCAAAACCATCTGAGTGCACTCGTTAAAATTGTCTTATATGTTTGTCTGTCTTAAATGTTCAAGGATGTTTGTATGTTATCGATCAAAATGACGTCAAATACAATTAGAGTGTTGATTTCTACAACCTGGCTTTATAGGATCAAATAAAAAACTTAAAAGATAATTAAATATAACCTTTAAGTTTGGATATGTTCCTGTTGGTAAATAAAGAAGCAGCTGCTCAGAGAATTTATTCTGATCTTTGTTCACTAATGGGAGCCACCAAAATAATTTTCATAGCCTTATAAAAAGATATGCCTTATTAAATATGTTGTTAAAAATGTCTATATTGGTTATCATCAAAGGTCTGAATTATAAATGTTATTGTAACATGTTTCTGATGGTTATCTTCAAAATGCACTATTTTCTGTTAAAAAAAAAGGGGGGAAGATCCTGTTGATACAAAACTACATTACAGGACATAAGAATTCATTATTATTGCCACTTTTCTGGTATACAAAATGTATTCATATTGTTTGACCATGCAGGTTTTTCAGCATATTGTTTATGATAATAACCTTTTGGTCCAGGTATTCTCCCTTCTCTTCTGCTCCACCTATTTATGGTTACAGGTACATTTATAGATCTACCACTATCCCTGAACAGCTTGAAGCTGGGTTTCCACTGAGGAGACCGGATTGGGACCCCAACACTGAAGCAGCAGAGAAAAACTTCAGGATGTATCTTGGTGCACAAGCAGAAACTTTATTATCCAGAACAAGGATTTAATGGGACCGGTGACTTAATGAGACATCACAAAAGTTTTTAGACTGGTCACTCGAATATTCCATGGACTTAAGTTTGTCTGCAGAACTTTGGAAAATAGATTCACCTTAGAAAAGTTAGGGGGGAATCCCCTCTCTTTCAAAATTCAAATCACAGATGGTGGGATTTTCTGTTTGTCAGTACTACTGCTAAATAGTATTTTTCTGTAATATTTATTCCTGTATTGGCGATCATTGTAATTTTGATAATTTTTCGTATTTGTAATTGTTATATGTATCGCAAGATGACAAGAATGTATCAATCCTTTGTGTTTCGATTTGCTATGGCTGTACAAGTTTCAGTAAAGGATGACGCATCTCGGGTGGCCATCTATTTGGCACAAACCCGCCGTACATAATTCCCTCTCCGTGGAGCATCCAGAGACGGGTAAGGTCGGGGCCTCCTACCAACCTAAGACAGGCAAGAGGGACATAAGCCCTCTTCGCTGATGACGGGTAAGGAGAAAGGACATCCCTGCCACCTAAGACAGGAGCTCTTTGACATATGTCTGGTACCCTCTAAGAGAAATGGGGGAATTATGGAGAGCACAGCCATATTGACTTGTAATTCACCCGAGCAGTGTGGACGTGCTGTCACCCATAGCAACGGGCTAGTTCAGCTGGTGATCTGATCTATTGCCTAGCAGATGTAACTCATAATAATTGTTATTGCTTCCTTCTGGAATGTGTGGGTGGTACTTTTGCTCCCGTACAGCTGGAGAGTATAAAAGGAAAAGGTTCTGTAATAAAGCAAGCAAGTAACTTGAGAAGAAAAGTGCCTCTCGTCTCTCTGTCCTCGTCGTTTCAGGTTTAGGACCTGCTGGCAGGATCCTGACGTCGCGGCTTGCGACACCCCACAAAACTAAGACTTTGTTCAGTCCCACAGAATCGGGGCTGTAATCCAGGTTTTCCTAGTTCCCATCTACACCTATTTCTACCACCTCTTTTCATTATATGGCAAGTGGCCATATTTATCTAGTTATGGTGAAAATGGTACAGGTCTGAGGGTTAAAGGAACAGAGACAGATCTACATATACACTTACTTTAATAATAAAGACTGCAATGCTAGTTATCAACGAAAAGCTATGGAGAAGGAAAAATCTTGCTATACTCGGGGGTGGGGGGGGAGGCTCAGTAATGGGAAGGAATCCGGGTAGTCCTAATCTAAAAGCGCAAACCTCCCACAATGAATGCCCGGTAGTGAGCGGCCCGGAAGTGAGCGCTCAATTTACTGTCCTTCCTCCTTTAATGCTCTGGCCCAATTTTCTTAGTCTTACTAAACACTTTACCCTGAAAAGCATTGGTTTACATGTCACGGTGATTTTTGCAGTTCCCTGGTCCTGGCATGGAGCGTCCTTCCCAGAATGAAGGCACAGGACAGGAAACGGAGCTCTGGAGAGAATGAAGCATATGGTAACTGTTAAGCGCAGTGGCTATAGAGGCAGCCTCTGGCTCCTTATGCGTAAAAAGCGATAAAGAGAATTTATCTCATAAGGGTAACTGGATTAAAATGACATTCCTGGGCCGGGGATTTAGCTCAGTGGTTCCGCTGCCTTCTTCGCAAGCACAAGGACCCGAGTTCGATCCCCGGTACAAAAAAAAGGACATTCTTGTAGAGGTTACAACATCTTGTCTGGCACAGAATGAACACGCAGGAAATGGAACGCCTGTAGGAACGCGGCGCCCCGCCCCACGCAGAAGCCGCCCCTCGACCGCCTCTGATCGCGCAGGGTATTCAGCTCGGCGTTCGCGCCACCACAGCACCTCCGCCCCCACCCTCATAGCTCCCGGGTTTATCAGACCCGGCCAAGCGCTAGGTACCCGGCTCATCTGGACGCACCCATCACTCTGCCTCCGCCATACTATTGGCTGTTGCAGGTGCCCGTCGTCAGAGACCACTGCGGATTGGCCAGAGTGGTTGGGGCGGGGCGGGCCTCGCGGCGCCTAGGAAGGGCGGGGACCCGGATGTGTGTGTTGGCGGTGGCCGAAGAGCTTGTGAGAAGAGCTGAGAGGCCTATGGATGAGGAGGACGCGGCGGCCCCGGTAGGCGGGGATCAGGGGGCGGGGTCCCGGAGGCCTCAGTTCTCCCCGAAGCCCCAGGCAGGGGTCCTGGGCGGGGGCTCTGGGCTCAGGGGCGGGGGCTTCGGACTCCGGGGCGGGGCCTTGCGCTCTAGTGTCTGGTCTCCCTTGGCGAACCTCGGTGCACCTTCGCCTAGTGCAGGGCCTGGGGAGACCAGGCGTTGTCACAGTGACAGGTTCAGGCCACGTCGCTTCCGAGTCTCGTGAGTGACCAGGCCGAAGTGGCGCGACTGCCATTCGCTCGTGCCGTGGCTGTCGGGTTCTGGGCAACCAGATTCCCCTAGGTCTCGGGCGACAGCATGTCCCTGGGGTCAAACCCTGGCCTGGGACCCAGAAGGGGACCCCTAGGGCTGCTCCACAGGTGTGTAGTCTTTTGGGCCGGCCGCGAGATGGGTTGTAGAAGAATGGTAGGGCATTGGGATGGAACCCAGCCTAGCCTAGGTTAACTAAACACAGAGGATGGGAAAAGAAGACTACTTCACCTTTTTTCTCTCACTTTGGGCACCTAGGAAGAATTCATTCGTTCATTCATTCATTCATATGTTGCTATGTGGAGTTCAAATAGCTGCATGATCCTACTTGTCTCCTTCTCTACCACTCAGTGGATGCCATCTCATCTGCAGCAATCAGCAGCCTGAATGAGCTTTAAGAGCTGATAAACTTTAAAATCGTGTCATTTCTTTCTTAAAACTCCCTAGAGGTTTCCCACCACACTTAGAACAAATCTAAACTCCTTCCCATGGTCTATAGGGGCTTCAGTCTGGCTCCTGCCTTCTCATCTTGTTCATTCTCACCCACTTTCCCTACACACCAGGTGCCCTGGCCTCTCTTTCCTTCTTTACAACACCAGCTTCCTTCCACTGAACGACCTGTGCTCTTTTTTTGTATTGTCACATGCTCTGCTCTTTTTAACTCAAATGTTGTCTCCTCAAAGAGACTATCCTTTCTGTCACCCTGTTTGTCACATCACCTTGCTTTTTCCTCTACTGACTGACATTGTCATGGCTATTGTTTGTCTTGTTCCCTAGAGTAGAAACCCTGTGACTGTAGGAATCCCGTCCATTTTGTTGGATAGTACACACAGTAGGAGCTCAGTAAATGTTTGTTGAATGAAAGGATTGAAAACGGGATATTATTGAGGTCTGTGGGGGCAACTAACCTCAAGCCTAGTGCCCTCTCCAAGTTTAAGGTTGAGCAGGTTGAGGTGCTTTGCTCAGAGCCCTGCTTCTTCCTCAGTCGCTTCTTCCCTTTGCAGGTTTGTTCTCATGAACAAGATGGATGACCTCAACCTGCACTACCGGTTTCTGAATTGGCGCCGACGGATTCGGGAGATTCGAGAGGTCCGGGCTTTCCGATATCAGGAGAGGTTCAAACACATCCTTGTAGATGGAGATACTTTGAGGTGCGTTTAGGGGAATGGTTTTACATTTTCCTTTCTGTTCCAGATCTTAGAAGTGAAAGGGGGCTTTTTATCAGAGGAAGGGGATTGTTTACACTTCAGTAGTGGGGAGAATGCTCTTGACCTTGGAGGCCTTTTTGAGTGGAGCAGTATGTATTCCTCTCTTGCTTATGTCACTGGGTCACTCTGTTTTGGTTTCGCAAGAAAAGAACCCACCCAGCAAGGGCCTGTCTTGATTAGGTACTGGAAATGTCTGTGTCAGGTGTAGGAGGCTGCCAGGGTATCAAGAGTTCTTCAGGTTCTTTGTGGAGAAGACCACTAGGTGTGTGGGGTGTCTGAATCCCCTTTTGCCCATGTCTCAGTGACTGGGTTCAGTGAACAGTCGCTATTTCAAAAGTAGTGGGCCGGGGCTGGGAGTATATTTCACTGATAGAGCGATTACCTAGTATATGAAAGATCTTGGGTTCCATCCCCAGCACTTCCCCACATACACAAACAAAAAAAGTAAATAAAATAAAACTGCATAGAATTTCAGAGGTAGTGGGCTTCTTCTGGGGGAAATGACCATTCTGTAGTGCACCCTGCCCACCACCTCCAGTGTCTTCCCAACCCTTTGGTATGTGTGTTTGTTTTCTCTTCTGTTTTGAACCCTTTCCCTGACTCCCGAGCCTAACTCTTCTACAGAAGGGGGAAGGAAGTAGCACTGGGTAGCCGGAGGAGTGGGGACTGAGTAATTAACTTTTCCAGTCTGTGAAGGGCTTTGGTACAGAGGACAGAGAAGACAATTGTCTTCTAGCTCCACTGAAGGAAGAGCCAAAGACAAGGGCTGAAGCTGCAGCATGAGGGACTGAGGTTAGACAGGGTTATGAGACTGGGAATAGGGACCCTGAGGAAGTCTCTGAATTCCTTTCCCTGGAAGCTAAAGAAGCCAGGCTTGTATTGGCTTGCACTGGTGTAGTGTGGGTTGGACCCTGACTGGAGGTAGTGGGAGGGGTGAGTGACCTTGCGTATCTCGTGTGCAGCTGTTCTGAAGTGTGGCCAGATGCGTTTTTCTGCAATGGTCCTTGCAGAGTGGGGGTTGGGATGTCCAGGTCTTCCTTCCAAGCCTGGGCTGGGGGGCTAATGGAATTCCCCCCTCATTCTTCTTTCAGTTACCATGGAAACTCTGGTGAAGTTGGCTGCTACGTGGCTTCCCGACCCTTGACCAAGGACAGCAATTATTTTGAGGTGATCAGGCTGTGGGTGGGCAGAGCAGAGGGTGAGATCAAGGGTAAGAGCATTAAGCTTCAAGGAACTCCTTTCCTAGGTTCATCATACCCAATCCTTTTAATTTCCCTTTTGTCCTCTTGACTAGAAAAGGTACAGGGTAGCATGTACACTGATCTGAAGATAGGTGTTGTGGAGTCCTGTCACCCACTGCTTCTACTCTTTTGCCCCTTACATAAGTGGACTTTGCCACATATTCCAGATTCTTATCCACATGCTTTCCTGCCCCCTCACCCAAGCCTAGTGTCTGCTCTGTCTCCTATTTCCAAAGCTTGAACATAATTGTCAAGTACTCATAGTAAAGTAGGCCCCCTGCTCTCCCCAGTTCTTCCTCTGAGGGTCCTGTCTGTGATTTCTCTCTCCTTTGTCTCTCTGAGACTCAGCCACCTTTGATCACTAATTCCCCCTCCCTACTCCCAGAATGCATTCCATTTCCCATCCCTGCTAACTGTGTTTTTTCTCTTCCCTCCAGGTGTCTATTGTGGACAGTGGTGTCCGGGGCACCATTGCTGTGGGGCTGGTCCCTCAGTACTACAGTTTGGATCACCAGCCTGGCTGGTTGCCGGACTCTGTCGCCTACCATGCTGATGATGGCAAGTGAGTGGCCCTTGTGGAACTGACCCCTTTCCAATGGATTTGGAAATTGTAGATATGTTTCAACATGGCTTTCCCCACTCCTTCACCTGTCCTGACTATTTCCATAGAACTTTCTGATCAGGGTAAGACTAGTGACTACCCTTGCAAGTGTGCAGACTGGGGTGAGGGTAGAGCTCATGTAGGACATCTAGTGTGATGGCAGCAGCTGAGGAGGTCCTGGGGAGAAGCAGGAAGGCAGTTGTGATTCTGTGTGTCTGCCATTTCTCCATAGGCTGTACAATGGCCGAGCCAAGGGCCGCCAGTTTGGGTCAAAATGCAACTCTGGGGACCGGATTGGCTGTGGCATTGAGCCTGTATCCTTTGATGTGCAGACTGCCCAGATTTTCTTCACCAAAAACGGGAAGCGGGTGAGTGGGAAATCTTTGGTGGATTGAGTCGCTTGAAGGTGCCCAAGGATTGTAAGAATGACTCAGAAGGATCTGCTGGCTGGGGCTTGACCAGGGGCCCATGCATTTAATCCCCATCTCCTTCAGTTCAGTCTCAGATTCATCTGAGGTCCCCTGCATGTAGGATAAGACATTTTTCCTGCCTGGAGTAGCTGGAGCATGACCCAGATGATGGGTCTAGAGGGCAAGTTAGTGTAGCCAGTGAAAAATGAGCAGAAACTGTGGGGACCAGAACTGGGAGATTTGGGGGACTTTTTTTTTTTGTACCGGGGATTGAACTTGGGACCTTGCGCTTATGAGCTAAATCCCTGGCCCATGGGGGAATGTTTTAAGCAGAAAAAAAAAATTAAAAAAGAAGAAGAAGAAAATATTACAGCATGGGTATATAAGGTAGAAGGCCTTTATGAGTTTTGATTTGAATACTGGTAAGAATATGTTCTTTCTGAGTATCCTTTTACTTCTTCCCTTTCCTGTTCAGAGGGAGATTAGTAGAGGTGAAGAGAAAGGACAAGAGCAAATGGAAAATAGCTTTCTCCTATACTAACTCCTTTGCTTACCCTGGGAAAACTGCTTTTCTCAAGCGTTGGCTGTAAGCTCCTGCTCTCTCAGCATCTGTGCTGCCTTACTTCCCTGCTTCAGCACAGACCCACATATCCTGAAAGCACTTGGCAGCAAGTCTGGGAACTTGTGTCTGGCTTCTCACTGATACCTGGCTCAGCCAGGAGTGCTTAGCAAAGTTTTCAACTTTTTGTGCCTTTTTTTTTTAAATGTCAGTGTATGTATGATAATTATTGGCTGCATCATCTTGAAAGTACCCTTGTGAGAATTACATAAGCTGTGGAAAAGTGAGCCAAGTGGCGACGTCCCTCTGTCCCTCCACACAGGTGGGCTCCACCATCATGCCCATGTCCCCAGATGGGCTGTTCCCAGCAGTTGGCATGCACTCCCTGGGTGAGGAGGTGCGACTGCACCTCAATGCTGAGTTGGGTCGTGAGGACGACAGTGTCATGATGGTAGACAGCTACGAGGATGAATGGGGCCGTCTGCACGATGTCAGAGTCTGTGGTACTGTAAGTAAGGGGCAGTGGGTGGTAGACTGGAGGTGAAGTGGGCTGGGCCAAATGCTGTGGGCATACGAGGCAGATCTAAATTGCTTCCCATGGCAAGGAAGGACAGTTCCTTTAGTGGGGTTCTGGGAAATGGAGTTTTGGTGGGCTAGCCTGAGGCCTTGATGTGATAATTAGAGTCCATATTTGTGCTCTCTCTCTCTCTTTCTCTCTCTCTCTCTCTCTCTTTCTCTCTCTCATATTGGGGATTAAGCCCAGGGCCTCTGCACTGAGCTATATCTCCTGCTTTTTAAAAATTTTTAAACAGTGTCACTAAGTTACTAAATGCCCAGGCTGGGCTCAAACCCAGGTCCTCTTGCCTCAGCCTCCCAGAGAACTCAATTAAAGGCAGGCACCATCACATCTGATCACATCTCTGTTTTCTTTAATACTGATTCCCTTTCTTGGCTTCCCTTCATTTGAGAAGTCAGGTTGGCTGTTGACTCTTAGAATGAATGGAACCTCTCTTTTGTTTTGTTTGGGCTCCTTCAGTATCTGGTATGCTCTGCTACCCCCACCCTGCCTTCAAGAGGCTGGGGGTTGCTTGAAAGCAGAATGCCTGTATATCCCTCTGTCTTGATCTCAGCTCAGCTGGCCTGGGCTTTCTATTTACAGTGCTGTGGGGCAGGTGTGGTCAGAGACCCCACATGTTCAGGGGAAGGTTCTTGGAGATCTTTCTTGAGTAAGCTTCCCTTGTCTTCCCTTTGAATCTTACAGAGGATGAGAAGGGGACAGATGAAGAATCAGGAAGAATCCTTGAGGCTCTGAAGCTTGCTTTCTCTATTTTCTACCGAGACCTATTTAGTTTCTTCCTGGGATTTTTTTTTGTTGTTGTTTTAGTGTTTTGTTTTGTTTTTAGGGCAGGGTCCAGGCTGGCCCTGAACTCTCTATGTAGCCCAGGCTGGCTTTGACCTTGCAGTGATCCTCCTGCCTCAGCCTCCCAAGGGCTGGGATTATAGGCATGCACCATTACTCCTGGCTCTCCTTGGCTTTTAGAAGCACATAGACCTGGAGAGAGGCCGTCCTCCTGTTGATTCTGTGCTTTGTGCTGTGTTGGGAATGCCTGGACACTGAGTCCGGTCTGGCCCTGACCTCTGGTGGGCTGCTCAGGCTCCCCACTTGGAATTGTCCCACTGCTGCCCCCTTGCTCCTAGCCTGGCTTTTTTCTCCACCCTCTGGCCTTCCCACCCTAACCCAGGCTGTTTTCAAATCAGCATTTGATGGCAAAACAGAAGCAGTGGGGGGTGGGAGTGGATTAGGAGGGAGTCCTTCCCCTTGTAGAGTTCAGGGTAAGTTGAGCTCAGGGAGAATGACAGCAAGTGTGCCCTCCTGCTGCTTCCGATGTGATGCACCCATTCCAGCCCTAAGGTCCAAGCCATGGCTGTGAGCCAGGAGGTCTCAGATATGTACTTCTTGACTGTGCTCTTGTTCTTTTCTTTTCCCTATCTACTGTTATTTTCACAACATCTATGGAGTTAAATTTGGTCCCAGCCAGGGCGCTGTTCCAGGTCTCATTTCTGACCTCCCCTCAGGAGTTTTTTCCTGGCATCCTTTCCCTGCCTGGACCTGTCCGCACTCTGCTCCCAGCTCCTCCCAGACATCTTTTCTAATTGATGCAGAATCCTGGAGACATTTATAAATAGCCTTCCTTCCTCTCCACCCTTCCCCCAGCACCCTCTGGCCACTCATTTACAAATTTTTTCTTTCTTAGACATAAACTGTTGAGTTTGGCTCACTCTCAGGACAGCTGGTGAAGTGGGACTATTGCTCCTGAGCACTTGCTCCTGTGGGGCTGACTTGGACCTGAGACTGTCAGGGGATGTGTCCCTTCTAGGTTGCTAGCTGTCCCTCTTTCAAGTGAGGTGACCTACCTGATTTCGTTCATGGCCTTGCCCCTCCCCGCCGGCCTGTCCTCTCTTGTCCTTTCTCATAAACTGTATTGCTTGCCTAGCAGTCAGAGCTATGTCAGTCCGGAGGCACCTGGAAGAGGTCATATGGGCCATTTCTATGCCTTTTTTCTAAAACTATCTAGCAGAGTTGTTTCTCCCTTTGGACTTTCTGTTTTTTGTATTCCTCTCTGAGTGGCAGAGAGGGGTGGACCCAGGTTCCCTGGTGCTGTTGCAGCCTATTTCTCTTGGCCAGGACAGTGTTCTCAGTCAGCAGAGGACCTAGTACCAAGGAGGTTTGAGAGGTCCTTGGATCTAAGCTAGGCAGGATTTCTCACCAAGAGGTTGTTGGCATTTTAGTGGGATAGTTCTTTGATGTACGGTACATTTGGCATTCTTGGCCTCCAAACACAAGATGCTGCTAATCCCCTCACTCTGCCCCCACATTTTCAGATGCCCTCTGCATCTGCTGTTGATGAAAAAACAATCTCAGAGAAAAGTAAAGAGACTTGTTCAATAGCTTGTTAGCAGCCAGAGGAGGCCCATATATTTCTCTGACCCATGTAAACTGCTTTTTCCATTAATACTGATAGTCCTTGGCTTATGGTAATTTGACTTACGAATTGCCAACTATGATTACATGAAAGCTGTGTGCATTCGATAGAAGCCAGACTGAAATTTGAACTTTTCCTGAACTAGAGATAGTAGTACAACATTTTCTTTCAGTCCTGGGCAGAGTTAGCAAATGACAGCCCAGTCATAGGGGGAACAACTAATACTGTACAGTACAGTCTTGCCAAGCTATTGTGTTTGGTAGGTTAGATATTATAAATGCATTATTTTTTTTTTCATGTAGTATGTAATTCAAACTGGCCTTGAACTCATTGTGTTGCCCAGGCTGACCTTGAACTTGCAGCAATCATCCTGCCTCAGCCTAATTGCTAGGATTATAAGGGTGCATCATCCCACTTGGCTTACTAAATGCATTTTTTACTTAGCCACTTATCAGTCCAATTAGTTAATTACAAGAGGACTAATAATTGCGTATTTTTAAATTAATTTTTTAATAATATAATAGGAAATATAAAAATGACAATTTTATCAAATTCATTCAATATAAGAATTGACTGGGATTATAGCTCAGTAGCTCTGCACCTGCCTGGCAAGGGCAAGGTCCTGAGTTCAATCCCCAGTACCCCTCCCCGCAAGAAAGGACTGGTTGACATGATATCTGCCCAGGTGACACTTGGATAGTCAGCTCATGGTGGATTTATTGGGTTGTCACCCATGGTAAGCCAAGGGCATCTGTATGTGCTTGTCATTCTCCCCACGCCCACTTCTCAGTGGTTAGTCTATCTTCCCACTCCCTTCCTCCTGAAATGAATCTGGAGTTCCTACATTTAAAGTCCCATTCCTCTGGAATTCCCTGGTCTAGTGTATTTAACCAAGACCCTTCTAGATGAGTTTACTTGACTCACTTAGGTTCTTTCCCTCCCATCCCTTTCTCTCAATGATCCTTTCCTTTCCTATTCACTATTGTCACCTGCATAAGGAAGAACAATTTTCAATTTCTGGCTCTTGCTTTTTGTTTGTTTGTTTGTTTTGGCACCAGGGATCGAACCTTTCACTTGCAAAGTAGATGTCAGAACCACTGAGCTAAAACCCCAGGCCCTATTTCTGGCACTTTTTTTCCTTCCTCCAGCATTTCATTGTAAAAAAATCACAAACATACAATGAGCACCCTTATGCCTTCTCCCTAGATGCAGTTGTTAATATTTAGCCATAAGACCCAGGTGCAGCAGTGCATACTTGCAATCCCAGCACTTGGGAAGCTGAAACAAGAGGATCACAAGTTCAAGACCTGCCTGAGCAATTTAGCAAGGCCCTGTCTCAAAATTAAAAATAAGCTGGGCATGGAGGTGCACGAGTTCAAGGCTAGTCTGAACTACATAGCAAGACTGTTTCAAAAAACTAAGCAAATATGAATGCATACATATATACAATAAATAAAATAAAATGGGCTAGGGATGTAGTTCAGTGCAAAAGTACTGGATTCAAATTTCATTGTCATTATCAAGAAGAAAAGTAGTCACATTTACTTAATTCGAATCTCTGTATACAGACAGATGTGGCTCTTAAGTGAATTTTTCTCCATGCCTTCTATGGCCTTAGTTTCTCCTCCTAAAGAGTCTCTCCTCTTGAGGTGGGGATTTAGCTCAGTGGTTCTGCTGCCTGGGGGCAAGCACAAGGACCTGAGTTTGATCCCCAGTGCCAAATAAACAAAAAAGTCTCCTCTTGAGCTAGGGATCGCTGTTAATGGCAGAACACTTGCCTAACATGTGAAGCCCTGATTCAATCCCTAGTAAAACACACACACACACACACACACACACACACACACACACACACACACACACAATGCTCTGAGGATGTTGAAGCATTGCTACTGCCCTAGGCCTTGCAAAGTGAGGTCATTGTGTAAAGGGTGGGGGTTGTAGGTACAGCTGGGGGATTAGACTCATTCTGACTTTGTTCCCAGTTGAAGCTCCTCTGACAACTCCTTAGCGACTGGCAGCAGCTTTGGTACACAAAAGGAGGTGAATGAGGCCCCACCCTCCTGTGGGTCCTCCTCAGACCCAACCCAGGAGACCATGTTGAGGCCTGAGCTGGCCTGTGAGGAGCATAAACTTCGTTCCTATTTCAGTTGTTTCTGGCCCTCTGGCACTAAGCCCTCCCTGGCTCCTGTCAAAAGGGATTAGGGTCTCTGCTGGCAAGAGGAGGTAGGTAGGTACCACAGGGAGGAGAGGTGAGGGAGGGTGTGGAGTGTGGAGGCTCTGCCTTCTGATGTACAGTCTCTGCTTCCTGGTATCTGAGTCCACTGATGAGAGAAGGTGGGGCTACTTGAGGGCCCCAACGAGAAGGTTCCTTCTGCCTCCACCAGACAATGCAGGGGGGATGTTCTTGTTTATTGGGCTGTGTGTATGTGTGTGTGTGTGTGTGTGTGTGTGTGTGTGTGTGTGTGTGTTTGTTTGTGCATGTGCAACTTTGACAGAGTAATGGGAAGGGTTTATCTGTCCTTGTTAGACTGAGTCATTGTAAGTAAGAGTTAGAGCCTGATAAGAGAGATTCCTTTGTAATTGGCAGTTTCTGGGTCATCCTTAATATTATTATTATTTTTTTTTCTGTATTGGGGATTGAACTCAGGACCTTGCACTTGAGGCAGGTGCGGCACCCCGATCTAAATCTCCAGCCCTCCCCTATTTTTTGATTTAGAGAGAGGCAGAATGTGTATTAACCACCTAGTGGGTTGTAGATCCCATGCCAAGCATGTAGCACTCACTTCCTTTTAGCCTTTCACTTGTTTTTGGAGATACAAGCAATACTACCCTATTTTACTGATGAAGAAACTGAGCTTTAATGAGGTAAATGTAATTTGCTCGAGTTATTAGTTACTAAGTAATAAGAATTATAATTTGAATCTATATCTTTTGGATTGTCTCCCATCCAAGTACTAACCAGGCCTGACCCTGCTGAGTTTTCGAGATCAGACAGAGATTGGGTACATTCAGGTGGTATGGCTGTAGACTCTTTTGGATTGTCTTTCAAAAAAACTGTTTTTAGCCAGGCGTGGTGGCGCACGCCTGTAATCCCAGTGCTCCGTAGGCTGAGGCAGGAGGATCACTGTGAATTTGAGACCAGCCTGGGCTACATAGTGAGTTCCAGGTCAGTCTCAACTACATAGTGAGACCCTGTCTCAAAAAATCAAACAAACAAACAAAAAACTATTTTTCTTTTGGTGGTACTGGGGCTCAAACTCGGGACCTTGTGGGTATGAGGCAGGCAGTGGCACCACTGAGCTAAATCCCTGCCCCACCCTCCCACCAAAAAATAAAACTAAGAGGTATCTGATCACAGATTGAGGGACCAGCATCAAGATCCTAGCAACTCAGGCCATAAAGCTTACATAAGTAGTTGAAAGAGGGTAGGAATTGGCTGTGCTCAAGGAACGATTTGCCAGGGAGGCTAAACCTGCTCCACCTTCTCAGTGTCCTGAGAAGGCACCAGAGGGCTCACCTAGGATGTAGAGCAAGCAGGTGATTTCTGTGGCTTCTCCCCAGGGGAGAGTAGATCCACTCCAAAGGAATGCACCTTGCACAGAGGCCCAGTCATCCAGGGTGTCAGCAGTGGGCCTGAGCGCTCTTTGGGTGTGGGTAGAATGGGTTTTGGAGTTCCAGGTCAGTGCAGGTCGTCCTGGCTTTTAGCCTTAGGAAGCATGCCCACCCTATTATAGATAAAACTATAGCTGCTGCCTTCGGTTTTTTCCTAAGTATCGGAATCTGGATCAGCTGCCTTTTGGCTGTAGGACTGGAAAACACTGTGTTTCCTACACTGAGGCCAGTTGGACGGTATGGGTCAAGGGCAGCTGTGGGATCCCCCACCCAGTTCTGCAATGCTGGGTGGAGAGGATGGGCAAGGGGCTGCTTGGGCTGGGTGGAGTGTAACTGAGCTAATCTGCACCAAGCCACACCCCTCCCTTCCGGCTGGGAAGATGAGCAGGAGTCCAGGCTGATGGAGCTCACTGAGGGCCAGGGACAAAGTGCAAACAGAGTGGGGCTGACCATGGACTTAGTTGACCTCCTGTGCCCCTCTGGCACCCCCACCACCTGCCCCCACCTCTTTTTGGAAATGAAGGGAAGATGGACTTCATGGGGAAGCAGAGCTGAGCAGGGCAAGCCCCTTTCTTTTGGTGATGAGCAGGCAGGACCAACCTCTGCTGGAGATACACAGAGGACTCCATGCTGGTGTTGGCAAGTGTAATTCCTTTCCTGTTCAGGCAGGAGTCCTGAGGAGGGTGGGAGAGGCCAGTGCCCCAAGCTTGCCAGGGATCAGTGGAAGAGGTCCCCAGGGAGCATGACTTGCAGCTCTTCAGGAGTGGGAGGGTAGGAGAAAGTCTTGAGGGGCAGTTAGGATAATTAAAAGGGGATTAAGGAATCCCAGGTGATGCTGAGGGTGGGGGAAAAAGGTGATAGGATTGAGTCATAGCCCATGATTACCATGACAACTGATAAATAAATCCTCCCAGATTGGGGTTTGCTGCCCCATCTTGCCCAGGCAGGACCATTATGAGCTGAAGAGCCCTGAGAATGCATCAGTCATCTCCTCTTTCCTAGCTCCACACACCTGCTCCAGACTGAAAGAGCAGCCAGGGGCTGGGATCAGGGAAGTCTTCATCTTGACCTCTCCCCCCACATTAAGTGAGTGGTAGAGGTGACTGTTCTGGGTTCTTGGGCACCTCTTAACAACTCCTGACCCAGTGATGAACAGTTCGGTTCACAGCCAAGTAAAACAGGCATTGAGGAATTATATCAGTCCCATCTGAGGCAGATAAGTTTCTGAGCTCATTTATTTCTTTCCCCCAGATGTCGGGTTGGCACCTGACTTCTGCATTTGCCGGTCCTCATGAAGCCCCTGAGAAGGTAGTCTGGTTTCCTTGCAGCCTAGTCTTCACTTCTCTTCTTCCCTTTGCTAGCAGAGTACGCAGTGGGCTCATCAGAAAAGGGATGCCTTGCCTGGAGACCCTGGTGCTGTTCCCGGCACTCTCTGCTGTCAGGATCGGTGTGCCATTTTGCTGCTTTCCCATGTCTCCCATTTGCTGCTTTCCCATGTCTCCCAAAGAGCAGATGGGTGTCTTGATTCAGTAGGAAGGCAAGGAGGCATCTAGCAAGGGGCTGTTTTAGATCGTGCTGCCAAATTTGTGTCCTCACCATATTCCTGTTCTTCCATGCCTGCCTTGAATTTTAAGCCATATTGTGCCTCTAGAATCCTTTCCCTTTTGGCCAGGAAAACTGATGCCCAGACTGCCTTGGGACCAGGTTTCCATGCTGGTGTTAGCCTGCTCCTCACCCCACCTGGCTCTTCCCCCACAGCTGCTGGAGTACTTGGGCAAAGGCAAGAGCATTGTGGATGTGGGACTGGCCCAGGCCCGGCACCCGCTGAGTACCCGCAGTCACTACTTCGAGGTAGAGATTGTGGACCCTGGAGAGAAATGCTACATTGCCTTGGGCCTGGCCCGAAAGGTGAGCATGAGTGCTGGATTCTTTTGCTGCAGAGCTACTCAGCTCAGGGGCTATAGGGATGCGGCCAGGAAGCTCCTGGGGAACCCAGAGTATGGACACTATCTGTAGAGGCTCTGAGGCTAAGACAGAAAATAGCTGTATATATAATATGCTGTACGTGTGACCCAAGACACCATACCACACACCAAGGTCTGGGTGTGCTCAGGGCTGCCTGCAGCCCTGGTCTTCAAAGATGAAGCACCTTCCTCACCTTCCCTGCTTCTATCACTCCAGTCCCCTCAAGATGTGAGAGGCTCATATACAGCTGTCTGTTCCAAAAGATCACAGATTCAGATGTATGTGTGTGTGTGGGGGTACTAAGGATCAAACCCAGGGGTGCTCTACCACTGAGCTACATCCCCAGCCCTTTTATTTTTTATTTTAAGACAGGATCTCACTAAATGACCCAGGCTGGCCTTAAACTTGCCATCTTTCTGCTTCAGTCTCCCTAGTGCTGGGATGATAGGTATATACCATTATTCCCCATTGCCTGTCTTTTTGTTTTGTTTTGTTGAGGTGGTCTCATTGTGTAGTCCAGGCCAACCTCGAATGGGCTTTTTGTAGACTTGGCTGGCCTTGAACTTGTGATCCTCCTGTCTCAGCCTCAGCTCCCAAGGGCTGGATTGTAATGCACTACTACACCTGACTAATCTTCTTTTTTTGTATGTGGTCCTATAGATTTTCTTTTTTTTCTTCTTGGTACAGGATTATCCCAAAAACAGGCACCCTGGCTGGAGCAGAGGGTCTGTGGCTTATCATGCAGGTGAGTAGATGGCTGCCTCATGAAAACGAGTTGTAGCAAAAGGAAGAGACAGACCATTTTGCTGATCCCTCATAAATGGCATCTTCTTTCCCCTTTCCAGGTTTCTTGGGCTTTTTCCTCATCTTTGTTTTCCTCCCAGCCTTGAAAATCAGGGGAGCAGGACAGGGGTGGGAGAACTGGGTCCAAACTGGTCATTCCAGGCCTCTGAGTTGGATCCCTGTATGCCCTTTCCTGCAGATTTGGAGATTTGTCATTTTCTTATCTTGGTCTGCTTTGTTTCCTTTAGAGCTTTTTTGAGATGAGGACTGAGCTTTGGCTCATGGTATCACCCCTCTCCTCCTTCTCGCCTCCCTTGCATACTCCGCCACATCTTTCTTCTGGCCAGTTTTCCCTTGGGCTGATGGGAATTGTCCTTCCCCTTTTTTATTCTGGTGCCCCCTTCCCACATCTGTCTCCCCACTTTGGGGTTACATTGTCAGCTCTCCTTCAAGTGTTCTCTCCCCTCCCTCCTACAGATGACGGGAAGATCTTTCATGGCAGTGGTGTGGGGGACCCCTTTGGGCCACGTTGTTACAAAGGGGACATTATGGGCTGCGGAATCATGTTCCCCCGAGACTATATCCTGGACAGTGAGGGTGAGTGGGGTCTGGGAGCAGTTAGGCTGCTCAGGGGCATAGAGTGGGGGCCACCACAAGAACTCAGGTCTCTGGTTTTCTAGGGGACAGTGATGACAGTTGTGACACAGTGATCCTGTCCCCAACGGCCCGGGCTGTCCGGAATGTCCGGAATGTCATGTACCTGCACCAGGAAGGGGAAGAGGAAGAGGAAGAAGAGGAGGAGGAAGAAGATGGGGAAGAGATAGAACAGGAGCATGAGGGCAAGAAGGTGGTGGTGAGTAAGCAGATGATGGGGCTTGTTCTAGGGCTTCTAGGTGGGTGGGGGCTGGCAGCTAGTAGGAGCAGGACTCTGGGCCAGGGCAGGCAAGGGCAGGGTCTGGTGGGAGGCTGTTTTTCAGGCTCAAGTCTCCCTCTTGTGGTCACTTTCCATATCACTCTAAGTATCTTCTCAAGCTGGGGGGTGGGGGTGAGGGGCTTCTGGCCTGTGTAACCAGCATCCTCAGAGGAGAGGCCAGAGCCTGCTCCATTCTTCTTGCCTCCATCTCCAGGTTTTTTTCACCCGGAACGGCAAGATCATTGGGAAGAAGGATGCTGTTGTACCTTCTGGAGGCTTCTTCCCCACCATTGGAATGCTGAGCTGTGGGGAGAAAGTCAAAGTAGACCTGCATCCCTTGAGCGGCTAGGGGCTTCCCCTCTAGAACCTCCCCTTCTCCCTCTGCAGGGCCAGGTGCCCAGTTCCTGGCTTCCCCCAGGATTGCTTACCCAGCAGGTCTTGGAGGATGCATGATCACTGCCCCTAGCAGCCCAGGCCCCATCAAACTCTACCTTTCTGACCTGGTGCCACCTTTATCATCAGCTCCTGCGCCTGAGTCCCTGGTTGGACAGGAATGGACCCAAAGAATGGTGATGATATATTGGTGGGTCTCCCTTGCTTTGCCATGGGTGCCTGGATGCCCCTTTGTTTCACTGGCCCCATGTAAGTGGAGAGGAGTGAGCCCTCCCACCCCCAGCTGCTATTTGGGCATGAGCTTTGCAGAGGCTAGAGGAGAGTCATCCCTGTCCCCTCCTTACCACAGTATTTCCCCTGAACTCTCTTTTGTTCATCGTGTGAACCAGTTGCTGCTGTCTTCCCCCCTGGCTGGGCTAGGGGGCCGCCCTTGGCCCATGTTTCTCTTTTACTGGCTGCTGCCCCACCCCTTCAGGGTCTCTATTCTTTCCCTTGAGAGCTGGCTCCACTCACCCCCACCCAGTCTGGCACCATCATCCCACAGAGAGTGTCTCTGTCTCCCCCAACCCCCCAACGGTGGCTGCCCAGTGTGTGTGCAAAGGGAGGGCTGTGGCTATGAGGTGGCGTGAGACTGGGGCCTTCCTTTGCTCCTGTCTCTGTCCAGCCATGGCACTGTTGTCCCTAACTCCCTGGGGTAATGCCGAGGCTCTGGGGCATTTCTTATGCTGTGGTGAGCTGGCCCAGAGGGGCAGCTTGGCCCCTTGCTCCCCTTTTCCTGCCCCATCTTTGCCCACCCTGCACTCCAGCTTGCTGCTTGTGCCAGTTCCCTGTTTGCTTCAGTGTTTGATGTTAGCACTTACATAGACTCCCTTCTTCTTGTACCCCTTGACCCTTGAGCTGTCCCTGTAACAGTGACTTCTGCTGGGAAGAAGAGGGAGCAGGAGCTGTTGGCCTCGGTTTGCACAGAGTGGGTAGAGCCATGGGGAACATGGGTGTGCCGTGGTGCTGTTGGGGGCCCCCGTGGCTGTCCCTTCAGGCCCTGCACTATGATGTATGAAACGTTGTGTACAGATGAGAGATGTTTATATGCCAATAAAGACAGAGTTTGCATATTTATCAATATGGCCAGGATGGGAATCCTTTCCTGTTTGGGGGCCAGTGCCAGGACCAGAGCCAGAGGGTAAGGGGCAGCTGAGGGCAGCTTGTTCCAGCTGTGGACACTGTTAGGGCAGGGATGGAGGATACATGTTCTGTGGGCTGGGATGCTTCCAAGAAGCCTAGGGATGCTCTTGGGCAATGGAGGTTTTGACCTATGCATAAGTTCTCAACTCCAACAAAAGTTTATAGAAACTCTTTATTAGACAAAAATAGACTCTCTTTTTTTTCCCCCTTTCCTTGTGGTCCCACTGATCTCTGCTCAGAAGGGAGGTAGAGGAGGGAGTGACTTGCTCCCCTACCTCTCCCCTCTCTCTGCCGTGCTGGGACCTGCAGCTGGGTGGAGCTGACAGGGCCCAGTTCCCCTGCAGGTGTGATGCTCTCCAAGTGTCCTGACCCCCCTGCGGGGCTTAACTGCTGATGCCTCCTCACCCATCACATGCCCATCTCTGCCATCTGCTCACATGCCAGATCATCTCATGGGCCCATCCACTTAGCTTAGCAGGCCGGGTGGGGGAAGAGCAATGGCCCAGGTCGATGCTCGCTCCCTTCTCTTCAGGGAAGGTGCTGGCTTCGGGGCTCCTGGGTCCAGGCCAGGGGAAGTGAGGGCTGCGGGGTGCTGAGAAGAGTGCATTGTCGACTTGGCTCAGAGCTTGTGGCCTTCCTTTATTTTCTCTGGCCCAGGAGAACTTTGGTGATGAAGGTGACAATGGCGCCTGCAGGTTGATCTGGGTCAAGCTCAGCAAAGAGGTGGCACACATTCTCCCAGGGGCTTCCTGGCTTCTTGGCCACAAAACCAAAGATCCTAGAGAAACAAAGCCAAGACAGGGTGGGGTCTTTGCATCCTTTCACTGGGGACTGACTGTCCATGGCTAGGTTGACTCATGCCGGGGCTGAGGAAGATGGGCTGAGGAAGATGGAGGTGTCGGGGCCCTGGGAGGGAAGGGCTGGGCTCATGGGGGAAGCATACTTGGAGGTGGTGCCATCTGGATTGGTCCATCTGCAAAAGGAGAAAGACTGAGGAAGGGCAGCCTAGCCACGGTTACTACTAAGGGAGGTGAGCAGGGCCTGGCAGGATGGGCTGGGGGAAGATTGGAGGGAGGCTTACCTGTGGTCCTGAGGGTCAGTGCTAGAGAAGGTGATACTGCTCACCGGGTAATGGCGGCGGAAGAAGAGCCTGTGAGGAGGCAGGATGGGTAGAAAGCTCACACTCAGAAACCCAGGCTCCCAAAAGCCTCACTGGTTCCTCAGGGTAGGCGCCCAGACTCACTTTCTTTGCTTATCTGTTAGTGTAATCCCCTGGGCTGAGACCTTGAAGTGGATCACAGCTGGTGTTGGGCGAGGGCTACAGCTCAGAGCTGCAGAGCTGGCCTTGGCCACGGCTTGGGGGCCTGTCAATGACTCTGTCTCCACTGAGGTCAGATAGAGCACACTGCAGGCTAGAGGGCCAGGAAGTGGTCAGTGAGGGAGCATGGGCCTGTGGGCTCCCAGTTGCCCCCCACCTGCATCAGCTCTTGGCACTTTTCCCTAGTCAGTGATGTCAGAATGCCTCTACCTGCACCTTGACGCAAGAGGTCTGCTGCTGTGCTCATGTTGCTGGGCACTGGAGCCTCTGGGGCCTCTTCCAGAGGGTCTGGGGAAAATGAAGGTCAACAAGGAAGGTGAGAAAGAAGAAAGCATTCCCTAGGAGCTAGAGATCTCCCTCTGTTAAGGGAAAGTTTGGAGCCAGGCTCTCTGGATTCTGCCTTGGCTGGAGGGGTGGGGAGAGGTGAGCAAGACAAATTACCCACCTTTATTGGGAATGCACAGGCAGCAGGGCAGGGAGATGGGGGAGATGGAGTGCTGAGAGACCAAGGCGGACAGGCTGCCTGTGGGAGAGGAGGTGAGAAAAGTCCTGGATACCTCCAGTGTTCCCTTCCACTCTCCTACATCCCTTTGGCTTCTCCCACAGCCAGTCTGGTGGAATCTTCCCCATGCCCAGGGTTCTCACCAAAGTAGGGCTCACTGGGACAGCCTTTGATCTTCACTCCTTTAGGCCCAGTCTCAATGAGGAAATGGCGGACTAGCTGTTCCAAGGGGTCCCCTGAGGGGAGGAGAGAGGAGAGTAAGGCTTTACCAGATCCTAGGTTCTTTAGTTTCTCCCTTGATGGGACTGTTCTGAGTAGTAGAAGTCTTCCTGCCTCTCCAAAGTGTCATGCCCCACTTCCCCCCACTATCTTGCCTCTGTAACTTCCCATCTCCTCCTGCCTCCCTTAGGCTTGGGCATCCTGTACCTTTCCAGGGCTGGACACTGGGTGGAGGTGTAGCCACCTTGAGGGCCAGCCCATAAGCTCCTTGGAATGAATGACTGTCTCTGATCAGGAAGGCTCCAGGGTCCTTGTTCTTCAGCAGGGCAATGGCTGTAGGGTGGTGGAGAGGGATCGGAGGCAAGAGAAGTTGGCACAGCGGCTAGCTGAGCCCCATGTAGACCTCTGCTAACAAGCTTCTGGGCCTCTCTGGCCCTGATGGCTGTAAGGGTGGGAGGAGTCTGGAGACAGAACTTGATCATTGTTTTATTTATTTGTTTATTACAGAGTCATGCTACATTGTCTAGGCTGGCGTCAAACTTGTGATCCTCCTGCCTCAAACTCCTGAATGCTGGGATTACAAGCATGTACTGCCACGCCTGGCCAGGGACAGAACTTTAGAGTTCACAGGAGCTTTGACAATGTTAAGTCTAACTTTCTTTGGCCCAAAGCCCAGAATCACCTGCTTTTGAGAGATTTGGCCAAGGTAAACAAGCTGAGACAGGAGGAGCCAAGGTCTTCAACTAGCATTGGATTTACAAGCCAAGACAGAAGCCCTGGAAGTTGGGACAGGATGGGAGCAAGCTGGCTTCTTACCTTGGTCACGGGACAGGTGTGGCTTGTACCAAAATTTGGATGTATCCTGGACAAACTTGACATTGTTTTGGCTCTCTTGTGTAGGGGGCTCTAAGACAGGAAGGGGTGAATTCAGGTCCCAGAATTCCCCAGTCCCCAGTTCCCCCCTGAGAGAATGGGTTCTGTCAGGGTTGCCCCATCCTCTCTCAAGGCTTCATACCTGGGTGTTGGGTGGCATTATCTGGAAGCAGTGGTGCAAAAGTGACATGGTGACTAGTGCCTCTGGCTGGTGGTGGTGACTGCTCTATGCCCCAGGATCCTGGCTGTTGCCCAGGCCCAGGCAGGTGGCGTTTTTCAGGAAGTGGAGGCTGAGATGGGCCATTAGTGTCATAGGATGTGGCCAGGGGAAAGGCAGGTGTGGGTGAGCTTGGAGGTGGCTCTGGGCTGGCCACGAGCCAAGGCATCTGGGTAGGCACAGGGGTGAGGGGGGACCCATCTGGGCTGTCTGGGGGGCCTCGAGGCCCCTTCCAGGGGGCATGGCGAAGGCCAGGCAGCGTGGTGGGCACAGGGACCCGAGGACTAGCACTGTCTGAATGGCACCCTGGGCTCCTTTCCTGAGGCCAATCCTTGGGTGAGCTGGGAGAAGAGGGTGAGAAGGGGCCGGGGCCCCGAGGCTCAAGGGTACTTCTCATTGGCTGCTCAGGAGCCTTTTCAGGGCCTCCCTGTAAAACAGGGGCCAAGGCCTCACTGGGACTCAGTCTCTGAGTGGGTGCCAAGGTGGGAGACCTGGTATCCTGTTGTCGGGTGCTGCAAGGTGAAAGGACAAATGGTCAGCAGAGCCTTGCTTGGACGCCCTACCCCAGCACTGCCTGCTTGGACACAGAAGAGGCAGCTTAGCCCAGGCCCTGTGTGTACCTCTCCTTGCCCTGGACCGGGCTGCTGGTGTGCAGGGGCGTGGAGGGACCAGACAACTCTGAAGAGGCGCTGCACTGTGCATCTCGGGGAGACCGAGGCAGTGCGCTGTGCCCACTGGGACCCTCCTTCCAGGACAGTGGCTCAGGTGACTCTGTGGTGAAGGAAGAGGAGGGACAGTAAGCAGGAACTGGCTTTTGTATCTGGCTGAGTATTTCGTACACTGTACCTTCTTTCTTGGCTTCCCTATGACCTTCTAGAATCTTCCTCTCCCTTAGGTATGTCCCTTCCAGTGACCCTCACCTGTAGATGCCAAGGGTCCTGCTGAAGCCAGTGGGTATTTGTCCCCTCTTTCCTCCACAGGGATCTCGTAGCTCAGCTTCCTGGATTGTGGGTAGGATGGGCTGCCCGGGGAAATGGAGCCAGCCCGTGGTGAGTGGGCACCAGGGCTAGGATGCCCTCTGCCCTCACCTG